GAAGAAGATCAAGCCAAAAAGGTCAATTGACATTCCAGTGGCATCACTCACTGGACTCAATGAGTTGCAAAAAATAAGAAAGGAAAAGACGCAAAGTCCCGAGAGGTATGAGGGATTACAGAAGGGGCAAACTGGGTATGGATTAAATTATCAAACAGTAAACAGAAGATTTTTAATTTTTTTTGAGACAGGGTCTCTTACTTTGTAGCTCTTCCAGGTCTATAACTGGCTAATGTAGACCAGGTTGGTCTCCAACTCATACATTCATCTATCTATCTCTGCCTCCTGAGCACTGGAATTAAAGACAACAAACACTACCACACCCAGCTAAATCTAAATTAGTTTATATCCTAACTTAAAAAGAATGAATTACAAGCCAGCCTCAGAAGCACCCTATCTTTCTGCTGCCTGCTAACCCAGGTGTAAGAACTCCTTTTCTAGTGCCATGCCTTCCTGCATTCTGTCATGCTTCTCACCATGATGACAATGGACTAAACCTCTAACACTGTAAGCTAATCCCAATTAAATGTTTATTTTTTTGAAAAAAAAAAAGAATGAATTAGGGGCTGCAGAGATGGCTCAGTGGTTAAGAGCACATACTGCTCTTCCAGAGGTCCTGAGTTCAATTTCCAGCACCCACATCAGGTGGCTTACAACTGCCTATAATCTCAGATTCAAGGGATCTCACACCTCTGACTTCTATGGGCACTTGCACACACATGCACACACACACACACTCACAGAGAATTAAAATAATGAAAATAAATCTTTTTAAAAAAGAATTAATTAAAAATAAAACAGAGTAAAGAATTTATTGTAATGGTTTAACCTTCATTGTCAGTTTGACTAAGTTTGGAATCAGTGAGGAGATATAATTCTGCATGTGTCTTTTGAGGGAATTTCCAGAGAGACTTACCAGAGGATGAAAAACCCATCCTGTCCAGGCACAGTGGTGCATGGCTGTAATCCCAGCACTCTGGGAGGCAGAGGCAGGTGGCTGTCTGTGAGTTTGAGGCCAGCCTGATCCACAAAGCCAGTCCAGGACAGCCAAGGCTACACAGAGAAACCCTGTCTTAAAAAAAAAAAAGAGAAGAGAAGAGAGAAGAGAAGAGAAGAGAAGAGAAGAGAAGAGAAGAGAAGAGAAGAGAAGAGAAGAGAAGAGAAGAGAAGAGAAGAGAAGAAATAAGAGAAGAAAATAAAAACCCACTCTGAGTATGGACAGCACCATCACCTGGGCTAGGGTCTCACATGGAATAAAAAGGGAAAATAGAGAAATCCAGACCAAGCTGTTTCTCTCACCATGCCTTCCCTTCCATGGTGAGCTACATCCTCTGCAAACTGTGAGAAAGGGAAAATACAGCTCAATATTATCCAACATTTGCTCGCAGCAATGAGATAAATGGTGAAAACAATCACAAGTCTTTCTTCTAGCTTTTTGAAATATGTAGTACAGTATCATTACCTCTAGTCATCCTACTGTCATTTCTATGCATTGGGAGGCTTTGAATTCTTGTCTACTAGTTCCCTGAGTTGTTGGAAAATACAGTTACGCTAATGTGCTATAGAACAGTAGGACTTATTCTTCCTAGCTAGTTTGGGTATTTATTCTTCCTAGTGTTTTGGGTATCACCATCCAACTCTCTCTATCTGCACCCTTCCATCCATATACTTCCTGCCACTCAGTTGCAGGTCCTAGAAATAATGATCTTCTTTTGGCAGGAGTGGGGAAGGTTCAAGACAAGGTTTCTCTGTGTAGCCCTGGCTGTCTTGGAACTCAAACTCACCGAAATCAGCCTGCCTCCGCCTCCTGTAGTACTGGGTTTACAGGCATGCACCACCGTGCCTATCTAGAAGAAATGACTTTAAAGAGCCTTAACAAAATCTGCTCTTTTGGGCTTAGTTTTTTACTTTACTTCTTCAAAAATCCTAGGCTGTGAGCAAACCAAGTATTAAGTTTTCCTATCTTGTTGCTTTCATGCACAAATGTCCCTCCCAATTTCTGCACTGACACATTTTACCCTTTTTCCTTTTAAAATTTATTTTTTATTAATTACAGTTTACTCATTTTGTATTCCAGCTGTAGCCCCTCCCTCATCCCCTCCCAATCCCACCCTCCATCCCTCATCTCCTCCCATCCCCCTCCCCAAGTGCACTGATAGGGGAGGTTTCCCTGCCTTCTATCTGACCCTAGCTTATCAGGTCTCATCAGGACTGGCTGCATTTTCTTCCTCTGTAGCCTGGTAAGGCTGTGCCCATGGCAGCTCAGTCTCCAAGTGGGTTCCCTAGTAATGGGAACAGGGACTGTCTCTGACATTTTACCCTTTTTCATTTAAAGAGTGTTTCATGTTGCCCAGGTATGAAACTCACTAGTCAAGAATAATCCAGAATTCCTGACCTTCCTGCCACCACCCTCTAAAGGCTGAGATCACAAGCATATACCACCATATTTGACTCAGTTTATCTGTCATTTTTAAACATCAGAAAAAGCCTTGACTTCAACAAAGACTTCACCAAACCACCTGAGACCTCACGTGAACTTTCATGGTAATCTATGCACACCTGTCTAAGGATACTTCTGAATTTCTACTTTCTTTTTGTTTATTTGGGTCAATTTTATCTGACTCCTCAAGGAAATCAAGATTAGAGCATGCCTAAAGCAATTTTCCATACTGTCTTCAAGCCCAAGCAGATATTATTCCACTGTATTAACTACATGAATATGTGGTACATGATTTATTTTAGGTAACGCACAGCCAAACATTTCAAAATAATTGAAATACCTATTTTTGTTGTATATTAGAAAAGCACCCCTTTTTACTTTAGATAATGATCAAAATATTTTATTTTGAAAATAAGCATATTTGCGGGCAGTGATGGCGAACACTTTTGATCCCAGCATTCAGGAGGCAGAGGCAGGTGGATCCCTGAGTTGAAGCCAGCCTGGTCTACAGAGTGAGTTCCAGGAAAGCCAGGGCTACCCAGAGAAACTCTGTCTCCAAAAAAACCTAGATATAGATAGATAGATAGATAGATAGATAGATAGATAGATAGATAGATAGATAGATAGAGTGAATAAGCATATTTAGCTGATGGGTGTGGTTCAGTTGACACACCACTTGTCTAAGACACATGAGGCCCATGAGCTTTAATAACTGAAGAGGGATCTTATGTGTGTAAGTGTTTTGCCTATTTGTGTTTCTGTGCACCATGTACATGCCTGGTCCCTGCAAGGGCCAAAAGAAGGCATAGGATAACCGTCAACTGAGTTATGTTTGTGAGCTACCATGTGGGTGCTGGGAATTGAACTTAGGTACTCTGAAAGAGCAACCTGGGCTCCTAACCACTGACCCATCATCAATCCAGCCTCATCTTTACTTTTTAAAATGTTTTTAATTGTAATAGATTATATCCCCTTCAGCCACCCTACCCTCTCACACTCTTAAATTGATAATCACTTTTTATTTTTAATAAGTGAGATTAAGGATCTTTTCTTGTATTTGTCATTTCTTTTTTTCTGGAAATGACATATCTAGTACTCATTTTTTTTATCAGGATATTTATGTTTCTATTGACTTCTAACAGATCCTTATGTATACGGGAAATTATACAACTTCTACTGCATTTTCCTGTGTTTTATCCTAAAGCATTCTTTAACTCCACAAAGCTTCTATCACATATGACCTGTGATGATGATCTGATGATTTTTAAATGTGTAACCCTGGACTAGAACCTCTAATCCTAGTCATTGACTATCCTTGCCTATGTGAAACTAAACTCATATGCAGGTTTATAAACTCTTGAGACCTGTGACTGAATTTCCTCTGGCCTGTCTTTTGAACTTAGGTGACTGGGGCATACTTGCCTAAATCCTGTTCTTTCATCTGTAGAATACAATTATATCTGCTTCATGGGCTTCATAAACAAAATGAGATTTATACAGAACTGGCATAAATACTCAACTCCCTGCTTTATCTACCCAACTACTTTCAAGCCTCCCCCCCAGCCTTGTAGCTGCCAAACATCCACCACCCTGCTAGGAAGTCTTGTCACTCTATGCCTTACACACACACACACACACACACACACACACACACACACACACTAAACCCCACCTACAAGGAAGTTCAATTCCTTGGAGCGTGCAAGGCCATGCATACATAACCATGTACATGTTACTTCCAGCTACACTACAACTGTAGTTAGGCCACAAAGAACCTGTTTTTATCAGAATTCGATTGTTTCCTATACTGTTCACTGGCGAGCCCTCCTTCTCTTCAGTCTACTTCTCAAGCACTCAGGTCAAATGTGGTCCTCTGTGCTTCGTCATCACTCATCCCTTCCCTGAGTCAAATCATTGTTTTATATTCATGTTTTCCTTACTAGACTTTGAGTTCCTTGAGAGTTGAGTTTTACTGTTTATGTCACCAGATCTCAGCACAAGGTCTAAAATTTTACATATTTGTTAAATAAATAGATAAATGCATAGTTTTAATATGGGTGTGGTTTTAACCTCTAATCTCCTGTTCTTTGGGAGGCAGTATGCTTGCATATATGGTCCTTAGAAAAATCCTCTAGTGTCCACACCTCCTCCCAACAGTTAAAATTTGTTACTCAGTTAGTGACTGGAGTCTAAAACTGATCCAACTAAAAGATGTGCAATAGAAGACACTGGCCTCAAGTGTATAACCTAGACAGTGTTGAGACCAGAGTCCATCTGCAATCCAAGACAACAAGGCAGTCTCAGTACTTATCCAGGGCCTCACCCACAACATCAGGAAGAAAATTCTTTCTCTAGGTTGCTTCTTTAAGAGTGTGAGTAGTTAGGCTGCTTTTACTACCCTCTCCAATCCCTAGTCCAAGAGGCACATAACCAGGTACAGCAAAAAGTCTTGTGGCTACTAGAGAAAAAGACACAGGACACTTCTCTGAGTCTCTCCAGACTTAAAGCCAAGCTTTACATCACCTCTAATAAACAAAGAACAGGACAGGGATTTTTTTGTTGTTGTTGTTTTCTTTTAATAATATTTTTTTTTCAAAGCCAGGAAGCAACTACAGAGACTATTTGAAAGTAAACAAGTTAAAAAACATGAGAAACAGCAAAGACACATCCATCATTTCACAATAAATACAGAGCTCTATTTAGTATTCCTCACTAACACCATATGAGAGGCCCAGCTCTCCATGGGGTCAAGAGTGAGCTCCATTGTTGTGTAGGGGGGCTAGAGAATACTCAGGTGTGATTAGGTCAAATGGCATGAATACACGAAGCAGTGAGATCAAGGTCTACAGTTGGGGCCCTTCTTTTGGGTAAGGTTTGATTATTCTTAACTTCTTCCACACTGTGCTGGATCCCATAGCCAAAGTAGATAGCAAATCCTAGTAGGGAAAGACAACTGTAAGGTGGGGAAGTGTTACCTGGAAAACCTTAATAGGTAGGTCTTCAACTGGAGATCAAGAGGGAAAGGCTAGGACACCTAAGAGGCTTATTCTTCAAAAGCAGATACTTACCAATCAGCATCCAGATCCCAAATTGGACCCAAGTGCCAGCTGTCATTTGCATCATCAGGTAAATATTCACAAAGATGCTCAGCAATGGGAGTAGAGGCACAAGAGGCACCTGCAAAACAAGATAAATCTTCACATACAGCACAGTGACATAAAAAGAGGGCTTTACGCTGTGAACAGAACCACTGGGGCAGAGCAAGCCAAGTTTGACCCCTACTCACATTCCGGATTTCAGCAGCCACTCATTTATCTCATATATTATTAGACACTCCAAATGCAGAACTTGAGAGAGCATCAGTAAGGAGTCTGACCTAAATAGCTCTAACAACTATCCTCTTGTGTCCAATTAAAGAACATAAGCTACAAGCCCTAATTGTCCCAAGAAGGTTTGGTGAGGGAGAAGAAATGTCATTTACCTTAAAGTGAAGGGGCGTGCGGTTCTGTGACTGTCTCCAGATAACTCCAGTAATTCCAAGAATGAGCCCCAGGATCAGCACAACCACTGTGACCCACACTGGTTCTCCAGAACGAAGAGCAGTTGTCCACCGGGTCAGCACCAGACAAAGAACAGTCAGTAGTACAGCTTCAAAAGTCAAGTTGAGAGGCATCAAAACCAACTCTTGAGATCCATATATTAAGATGTAAGACATCCCGTTCTAAGCAGGGTTCCCCTCTTGCTATATAGACCTCTCTCACTCACCAAATGCCACCACACAATGTCCACCCCGTAGTAATGATCTCTCCAGATCATCCCAAAGGAAAAAAGCTACCCCTTGAGGCTAGAGAGATGGCTCAGCAGTTAAGAGCATTTTGCTGTTCTTGCGGAGAGGACCTGGGTTTGGTTCCCAGTACCCATATGGCAACTTACAGCTATCTATAACTGCAGTTCCGGGGGATCTGATGCCTTCTTCTGACCTATGTAAGTACTAGGCATACATTTATGCAGGCAAAATACTCATACCCATAAAAATAAATAAACCTTAAAAAGAAAAAAAAAACCCACTGCTCACCAAGCAGTGAGGAACAAACATAGACAACCCGGCCAGAAAGGAGGGTGGGGATGGAGTTGACTGGACAAAATAGAGCCTGGACAGTTAGCTTCTCTGCTTCAAGTGTTTCCTCATCCTCCTGCAATTCCACTTCCTGTTCACCATTCCTTATTTCCTGGTCAGGCTGATATCTGTGGCAAGAGTAAGAACAATTTTATGAATAATTCTTAACAATTCACTATTTTTTCCAGGCAGCTTCTTTACCACCATTAAAGGTACAAGCTTGGGCTGGGGAGATGGCTCAGCTTATACAGCATCTGACACCAGGTTAGAGTGATAGCTTAACAGTTAAGAGTTTTGTTTTTCTCTTGCAGAGGATCTGAGTTCAGTTCTTAACACACACATTGGGCAAGTCACAACCACCCATAACTCTAGCCTCAGGGGATTCAACATCTTCTTCTGACCTCCAAGGGTACTCATAGATGGACAGAAAGACAGACAGACAGACAGACAGACAGACAGACACACACACACACACACACACACACAGAGAGAGAAAGAGAGAGAAAGGAGGGGCTTTTTAAAATATTCAAGTGTTTGTCACACAACTATGATGATAGGACTGGAGTTCAGATCTCCAGTGCGCATATGAAACCCAGGTGTCCTATAACCTCAGTGTGCTAGGGAGCTGGAGCTAGGATTTCTGGAATTCATTAACCAGTCAACCTAGCCAACCAGTGAGTTCCAGGTTCAGTGAGAGACTCCATCTCAAAAATAAAGTGGAGAGGGATGTAGGTAGATACCTAACTCTGACCTCTGGCCTTCATACACATATGCACATACAGGTACCTGGATGTGCAAAACACATGGTAGGGGAGCTGTTTTGGACATAACAAGATACTCAGATTATTCAAAGAGACTCAGGGTGACGGAAGGCAGAAAGAATGAGCATAATATCACACCTCACCCAGAAGCACAAACGCAAGTCTTACCTAAGGATGAGAACACAAATGGACACCAGGGAGTAAGCAAGTAGAGTCCCAATTGACATGAGGTCCACAAGATCACTGAGTTCAAAGAGGAATGCCATGAATGCTAAAATTGGCAGAGAGAAAGCAAGTGGGTGAAGGATGAAGTTAAAGGAGTTGGTGAAACAATAAAAACTGGTGGGTTTGTTTTGTTTTGGTACCTGCAATAACACCAGATACCACGGTGGCCACAATGGGTGTATGTGTTCTATTGTGGACCCTACCAAGGACTCGGAACAGGAGGCCATCTTCTGCCATTGCATAGATCACACGAGGCATAGGAAACATAGAGCCCAGAAGGCTGAAAAAGACAATGTCCAAGTGGAGTGAGATCACCAAGGTTTCTGTTCCCAGCCTGTGTGCTTACAGCCTCTCCACCTCCCCTTCCCATCTCTTCTGAAGAGCATCTTCTTGCACAAAATGGACATAACTGGAAACTACAGTCACCAAAGAAACAAATATTTAACACTGACCTAGTGGAAAGAGCACAGAGGGAGCCAACAGCTACAAGGTACCGGGCAGAATTCCAGCCAGCGTACATAAATGCTTCGGGTAGAGGGCTCTCAGTATGAAGCTTGTAGTAAGGCATCATAAGAGTAAGTGCTGAAGACACCCCAAAGTAAGCCAAAAAGCAGATGGAGAGTGAGATTACAATGCCCATGGGGATAGAGCGCTGGGGATTCTTCGCCTCTTCCCCTGCAAGAAAACACATAGCACAGTGTTCTGAACCCGGGGAGTAGGCTTGTCCCTCTGCCACTCCCAGTCGTCTGTATGTTTACACACTGAACCCAAGGCCAGCCAGGATACTGTGACAGTTACCAGTGGTCGCAATACAGTCAAAACCAACAAAGGCATAGAAACAGGTAGCAGCGCCACGAAGAATCCCGTCTAAGCCAAAGGGCACGAAACCTCCAGCGCCCACGGAGTCCAAGCTAGAGTATGAGAAGGAATAGAAATAATAAGAAATATGTTCGGCTAAGTCTATACTCTTCCTCTAATGTCCAGCTGCTTATTGTTTCTGACTCCCATTCCGGAATCGCCCAGCTCCCCCATTATGGGCCCACCTCTGTGGCTTTCTAACCTACAAGTGTCATTGGGTCCACTCATGGTCAAGCAATAGTCCTCTTTTGTGAGCTTCCAGTTTTTCAGATCTCCCTTAAAGAAGCCAGAGATGATGACAAATCCAAGAACCAAGAGGTTCACCCCTGTGAACACTTTGGTAACCAGAGCAGAATCACTTGCTCCCAAAGCCAACAATCCTGTGGGAGAAAAATTGTTCAGGATCTTGAGGACAAAATCCTTCCTCCAAGCTTGCTTTTTCTTTGTCCTGCCTCGTTCCCTCCCAGCTCTGCTTTCCCTCCCCATCTCATCATGCCCTCAAGCCTTTCCCAGTCGTAACCCCTCCTACCATTCAACCCTGCCCCTTGCCTCACCAGTGAGCAGCAACACAAGGGCCATGGCAAAGAAATCTGGATATTCTGCCAGAACATGAGGCACATTCAGTGAGATGGTTCCTTTCAGAGACTGAGAGATGTAGTTTCCAATCAGGTTGTCAAAAGCAGAGCTCCAAGCCCGGGCCACACTGGCTGTACCTGGTATAGCAATTGTATTTTCTACCTTAATCCCAATCCTCGGGAACATTATGAGGCCAAGTTCTCTCCCTCCTACACACCAGCCAATATTTCACAGATTCCTGCCATTATTACTCAGCTTACATTTTTGAGTGTGTGTGTGTGTGTGTGTGTGTGTGTGAGGTCTCTCTATGAAACTCAGGCTTAGCCTGGTCTCAAACTCAACAAACTCTTGATCCTCTTACCTCAGCCTCCTGAGTGCTAGAATTACAGGTGTACAACACTACCCCCAGCTCCTGATATTATCTTAATAAATGAACACCAGACAGAGGCAAACAATTAATTGTTCTGTATCTTCAACCCCTCCATACACCCCTACAATTAAAAATATAAACATCTGGAAGTATTGAGATAGTAGCAAAAATAAAGAAAATTTCAGCTTCACTATTTTACTCAGATTTCTGAATCCATAATCCCTTTTCTATTTGTGTAGTCATCCAACCCCCTCCCCAGCCCACCCCAAACAACTCACCAATGACGTAGGAGAGGATGAGGTTCCAGCCGGTGGTGAAGGCCCAGAGTTCACCTACAGTGACATAACTGTAGAGATATGCAGAACCAGAGCCGGGGACTCGGGCACCAAACTCAGCATAACACAGTCCAGCTAACACCGACGACAGAGCAGCCACCAAAAAGCAGATCACAATGGATGGTCCTGCTTTATCTTTTGCCACCTCACCAGCCAGGACATACACACCTGCACCCAATGTGCTGCCCACACCCAGGGCCACTAAGTCGAGGGTGCTCAGGCATCTGGCAAGGCGGGTCTCGCCCATGCCCAGCTCCAACGCACGTCTCCTCACCAGCTTTCGACCAAATCTTCGAAGAGCATGCCACAGCCGCATTCTAGTTGGACCGGAAGAAGATGCTAGGTTCTGGTGAAAAACAAAACAAAGCCCTTCAATGGGTCTGACTATCCCCAAGCTCTGGAAGTGAATTAGAAAACACTCCACTAAGTGAAAGAGATACAGGAACAAAGGAGGATGGGTTGAGGAGTGGGAGAGGGCAAGCCACTTTACCTCTAATGGCCGGTTCTTTCACATGCAAGTAAGAATTATAATAGTAATGCAAGTAGGGATTACAGTATCTCTGTGGCTGGTGGGAGGACTCATTTCAGAAGAGGTAGTGAAGCCCATTGTAGCACAGTGGCTGGCCACTAGTAAGTCCTTAGACATTAGGTTGCTTCTTTTTCTGGCCAAGAACCGTTGAGATTTACCCTAGAGCCCAGCCCAGGTGCCCTGAAACCTAACGTTTCTGTTTCCTGGCCTGTGGTTCCTGGTAAATCAAGCGGAACTCAACTCAGAACAACTCTGGGAGAACCCCTTCTCACACTCAATACCCACATCCCTTTCAGCGCGCGCCAGCACCCAGAGATCTTCAAAGAGACATGGCTCCCCGACCTCGTTCTTATTCCTTCTCACCGAGGCCACAGCGCTCCACCTGAGCCTTCTTTGCCCTGGGGAGGAAGCTAATGTTTCTCCACTTCCACGCGCCTGGCTGGACTGAACCTGTGAGCACCAGCGGTGAGGCAGGGCTTCAGCATCCGAAATCGGGAGATGCGCCTGGCGGGGGAGGGGGGGGTGGCAAAGCGAGCCCAAGACCGCCGGCACTTTTCTCTCCGCATACCAGGGGTCTAGCCCGGTGGCCCTAAACTCAGTCTCTAGATTTTTACGGTTCCATTTAGAAACAGTCTGGGACTGCGCTGGAGCTAGGGAGGCCTGGCTCCCTGGCTAGGGTCTTGCTAGCAACAGGTCACAGCCGCGCTGATGCAACTGCGTGCCGTGGTTGCCTGGTATACAAGGAGCCTCCCTCTCCCCACTCTTAACACACGTGTCGGCCCCAGCGGCTTACCAGAGAGCTGTGGCAAGACCAGGGGGCGAAGATTCTCGGATCTGGTTCAATGAGGCTGACTTAGTCGAGTTGGGTTGGATCTGCCGACTTGGGCTGCTCAGGCTTCAAGGATGCAGCTCAGGGTCGTTGCGCGCCAATCTCCCTTTATATTCACCGGGAGGAGGAGCCAGTAACGTCACGGGATCCTACCCCCAAGCCCTCTCCCTACACATGACACACCACACAATATACATACCAAACACGCATATACAGTCACTTGGCTTTGCAACATTGGTTGCTTTTGGCCTGAGACTGCTTCCCAACCAAAAACAGCGAGCAGGGAATGGTGGGGGGAGGAGGCAGGAGGGGAAGGAAGGAGGATAGCCTTTTCCTATTTGCCTCTCCGGTGGTCAGAAGACAATAAAACGCTTCCTGACCACAGATCCCATGGGAATTTTCTACCTTTATGCAGGATTAGTCAGAGTCAATGATCATAGGCAGCACTGGGTAAGGGACTGAATACAGAGAACTGGGTTTGTATGAAGGATGGAGGGGCAAATAGCACCAAGTCTCCATCTCACTCTATTTTCTCCCTTAGCATTACTGTCTGCATGAAATGCTTCAGAAGGACCGCCCCTGCTCTCACCCTTAAACTGTTTCTAATGCCGCCAGCAAGAGAATGGAAGACAGTTTCAAACCACCTGTACAGGGATAATTAATCCAATGTAGATTTTTAGGTCACAATGTGTTTGTAGCACCTCTCCACCTGCCTATCAATATTAAACATGAAATTATGAATATTAAAGTATTGAGGGAGAGAAACTTTTAAAAATTTATGGTGATAGGGATCAGTCTTGTAGGTCTCCCCAGTGCTGAGACTATACCAACGAGCTGCTCCAGCCACACCCTTTCAGTTCCATTTTACTAAGCTGAAGTTTGGAACTTCAGCATTATTGTTGAACAGCCCTTCTGAAAAAATACCTGGCCTGTTCTTTTAAGGTCTGCCTCCCATAGGTACTATATTTTATTCACATGTAAAAGGAAGAGGAAGTGTGAAGCTCCAGCAAGAAGTAGGTCCTTTTAGGCTAGGAGTTACTAGGAAACAGCAGAGGACTGAGGAATCTTAAAATTATCCACGTGGCTCTACCATTTCTGACAGTAAGGGGCAGACAGTAAGAGTTGTGCGGGTGTCCTTCTCTTCCACTAAGCCAAGTTAGCAGCTAAGACCCAGCTCTAAATACACTGTTTCCTCTAATGACCCACTATGAAGGTGTCATCAGTCATCTAGCATCCAAATCCTTCTTGCGAGTCTCCTCTCTAGCCCAAGCTTACCTGAAACTCACCATGTAGCCCAGGCTGGGCTGACCTACAAAGATGCAGGAAGCCAATGGAAAGTAAAGACCCTAGGAAGTGCAGTGTTTGTTGGGAAGCACTGGAGGATAAGGCTTGGTGATAATAGATGTCTCCCTCCGGGATGATCAAGTATCTTAAATGTACTAGACAATGAAGAAATTCTAATTCTTGAAACTCTTTCAATCACAAGTTTGTTCCCCTGGCAACCAACCCCCATCCGGAAGCTATTTGGGAACCCCCAGCCAGCTGTCATCATTAGCATACAAAAAGATATTTATCACTTTGGAAATTCCAAGGACATTAGGAACTGGGTACCTTGAAATTGGGCTGAATATCAAATAAATTTGTATAACTTATTACAAATGATGAAATTGCAGAGACAATATCTATGTCATAAAGTTTACCCTTTTTCTTTTTGAGACAGGGTCTCATGTAACCCAAACTGGACTATAAAGAACTCTCAATCATCCTGCCTCCATCTTCCAGGTATTAAGATTATAAGCATGCACCACTGTGCCCATGAAAATGTTACACCCAGTTCGCAAGCCCCCAAAAGATCTACAGGAATCGACTCCGTTGCAAAACTCATGAGGGTCTTTTTATTGTAAATTACAAGCTGCAGCTTGGGCCCACAACACCCACCACCGAAGAAGTGGGAAATGAGCGCACTGTGCCCAGGTTAGTTGGGTGATTTAAAGATTCTGGTCCCTCCCAGCATGCCCAAAGCAGGAGCGATTCCTGCCTGGCAAGCATCTATTGGTCAAAATGCTACATTTTGAATTGACTGGCTATAGGAAGGTCCCCAGACCATAGTGACCTGGTGTCCCTCCCTAGGGGGATGGGCCAGTTTCCTAACAACTGTTATCTCTAGTGGGTGGGGAAAGAATGCAGTAAGGCAGTCCTTCCCCTCAGGGCATTACTGGACTTCTCCACCCACCTACTTCAGGTCTTAATAATAGCTGCTAATTTATCTTTTGGTCTCTCAAAAATCCATCTTTTTTTTTATTTTATTGAGACAGGGTTTTGTGTAGCCCAGGCTGGCCTAGAATCCTTTGTGTAGCTCAGTCTTGAACTTAGTAAGCATCCTCCTACCTGTTCTACTATGCTCAGCCTTGGGAAAATATTCACCATTTTTAAAGTATATGGTTCAGTAGAGTTTAACTATAGTTACAGAATTATCCATTTGTTAATTTAGAAATTTTTCCATTGCCAAAAGAAACCCCATTTCTAGTTGTTATGACCAATAAAATGATGATGCACACAGCAGATTTTATATGAAAGAGGTTTATTGGATGGAGATGAAGAGAGAGAGAAAGAGAGAGCGAGACATGATAGGGGGAAGGAAGAGGGTGCCATGACAGAGAAAGGAGAGAGGACAAGAAGGCAAGAAACCAGAGGGCAAGAGAGCAACAAAGTGGCCGGTTGGTCCTTTTTTTAATTAATTATTTTTGTATTTATTACAATTTATTCACTTTGTATCCCAGCTGTAGACCCCTCCCTCATCCTCTCCTAACCCCACCCTCCTTCCCTCTTCTCCCGTAACTTTTTTTATTAATTACACTTTATTCACTTTGTATCTGCCATAAGCCCCTCCCTCCTCCCCTCCCGATCCCACCCTCCCATCCCCTTCTTCACCCATGCCCCTCCCCAAGTCCACTGATAGGGGAGGTCCTCCTCTCCTTCCTTCTGATCTTAGTCTATCAGATCACATCAGGAGTGGCTGCATTGTCCTCTACTGTGGCCTGGTAAGGCTGCTAACCACTCAATGGGAGGTGATCAAAGAGCAGGCCAATCAGATTATGTCAGAGGCAGTCCCTCTTCCCATTACTATGTAACCCACTTGGACACTGAACTGCCATGGGCTACATCTGTGCAGGGGTTTGAGGTTATCTCCACGCATGGTACTTGGTTGGAGCATGAGTCTCTGGGAAGACCCCTGTGTTCAAATTTCTGGTTCTGTTGCTCTCCTTGTGGAGTTCCTGTCCACTCCAGATCTTACTATTTCCCACTTCTTACATAAGATTCCATGAACATTGCCCAACAGTTGGCCACAAGGTTGGTCCTTTTCAGGAAAAACTTAACCATGCCTGCCGGGTATGGCTACCTGGTGGACGACACATGATGACTTCATAGGTTTCTAGGCAACCCAGAAGCAAGCTGCCTAAATACTAATATTCCTCCCTTTTTCTGTAATTAAATATAAGGAGCTTGGGCTGCTTCTTATGTAAGATAAGTTAAAGTATATAAATTTAGGTTCATTGGAAGCAGCTCTTGGTTGCCATGCAAGGGGGTAAGGGAGAGAGAAAAAAAAACAATAGCAACAAAACATTCAGATTACATGGTTGAGAGGAGGAGGGGAAGCCTCTGCCCTGGAAAGTTCATGGTAGAAGAATGCCAGTAGAGAGTTCCTAGCCACAGAAGGCAGCAGGTAGGGACTAAAGAATGGTGGGAGAACCTGGAGCTACTTGTTCTGGGCCTGAAGCACACCATTCCAGCCTTTTGTTAGTAATAATTGAATAACTTGCTTAGAGTCTTTTCTGGCTACTTCCTGCTGATACTGGGGGCGCTATAAGGGAGGTCAAAAGGCTGAAATGCTGGCCAAGTCCAGGAAGAACAGGCTGTTTGGATGCTCTCCAAGGTCTGTGAGAATATCCGTGGCTGGGAGGGAAAGTGCAGGTCTGGCTTGACGGAAGTCTATGAGGTCAGACTGGGACACCTGTGGTAGCTGCTTTGGCTCTGTTGTGGATATAGGAAACACCTGGGTCTGGCAGGATATTGGAACATATTTATAGGCAGAAGACAAAGTTAAGTAGGTTATAGAGAAAATTTACTTAGGTGTACATTTAAAATTTTTGGGAGAGTGAACAGAGGTGGAAGGTTTGGATCAAAGAGACTTAAACATGGAAACCTCCATTTACCTGAGGGAACCTCCATTTACCCAATCACTGGAAGTAATTAAAAAGGCTTTGCTTTGTATCTGTCATCTAAGAAAATTGAGGCCAAGTGTGTTTACAGAACTGTGTAAGCTTAGAGGCCATTAAAACAGGCACTAAGTGTAGAAATCTGAAATTCTCCAGAAGACATCACAGAGGAGAATCTGTAGGAATAGATGAATGCACTTTTCCCATTGGGCAGGTAGGAGACAATGACCTGTCAAGGTGTCCCAAGAGCAAGGTTTGAGTCAGTAGTTTAGTACAATCTGTCCCAACAGCTTGTCAGAGTTAGCCAGCAACCAAGGACACAGTTGCCCTTAGCAGACATGGTTTACCTAGCACTAGAATTTCCGCAGAGGAGCAAGAGGGGAGGGAGAGAAACTGTGCCATTAGAGGGAAAATCTTAACAAGGGAGAAGGAAGTCCTATATGAAGAGTATGGATGTAGGATGGTGAGAGCGGTAGGAAGTATTTGCGCCAACCAGAAGTAATGACTCACCAAATGGCTGATGTTCGGTATACAAAGGTAGCAATCAAGTAGCCAGGAATTGATGCCAACCAGAAGGGAAGTCTCACCAATCAGCGCTTGTTGGATGTAGGAATGTAGCAATCAAGTAGCAAGGAAGGAGAAGTCCCAAAACCAGGTAAAGGGGAGGAATCCCACCCTCTGGGATAGGTAATAGGTGCAGTACTTATCTGGAGCCCAACTGACCTGAGAGGTGGATTCAGGTGGATTTCCTACAGCTTACAAGAATTACTTTTAAGGTTTACAAAGGAGATAAAACTTTAGACATGTTAGCATCACAATTGTAATCTGCACTGAAATATACATTGTAGAAAACACAGTAGACAAACACATTGGTGTTTACAGCATAAACATTCTTTAAGGTGATCTCTGAAAAGGCAGAAGGCTTTCGTGAAGTAGAAGGGACAAAAGCT